GCCTGCTATCGCTGGTCTGGGTCGCCTCGCTGGGCCTTGCGCTGCCCGTGGGTGTCATCGTGGGGCAGAAGCACGAGCTGGAGACGCCGGGCGGGGAGCCGGAGCCCGCGTCGCGCGTGTGCACCATATTGGTGAGCCGCGCAGCGCTGCGAGTGTGTATCCAGGTAGGAGGGTGGGGTGCGGTGCGGCCTGTCCCCTTCTCCCCGGGGAGCAGACGTCGGGGTGGAGCGATGCTGTTGCGCTGAAAAAGTTCGCTCCCGTGAGGTGGAGATCTCCACACCTCCCCCGTGGGCTCTTGTGCCCGTGTGCAGAGAGCTGTCCAAGCCCCAGGCACAATGCCGTCATCTCGTGGGCCACGCCCCCACGCCCTCCACGCAGTTGCCCATATGCTCAAACAGCAAGGATTTTGAGTGTTTAGAACGGTACCGTCTTATTTAAAAGTCCAAATATGCCCGTTGTAGCGGTGCACACCTGTAATTCCGGCACCCTGAGAGGCCGAGACCGGAGCATCTCAAATTTGAGCTCAGCCTGGGCAACTTGGAGGCTTAGCAAGACCCTGTCTCATAAGTAAATAGATAAATAAATACCTGGGGATGAGGGCCACGAGAGGGGATGTGCTGCCTGCCTGCTAACTGGGTACTTCACAGGAATATGGAAGTTCTTGACATTTTAACTGTTGGTGAACTCCCTGACCAAAGAAAGAGTCAAAATGGCTAATGTGGGTTTTGCTTAATTTTGGGCATTTGTCTTTGAGACTCTCAGCAGATTGAGATCCAGCACATAGCATTCCAGCCCTGAGTCCCAGAACCACATGTTGGAGCAAGACACTGTCTCAGCCTTCCTGGTATGAGACCAAAGCATGTGGATTCATAGAACCACCAGCAACAGAACTAGTAATCTTAAGCCCCATGAAAAGCGGGAGAGAAATAGTTTAACAGGATTTTGTGCACACGGGAGGCCTGGTCACTCACTATGAATGAGGAATTTCAGAAGAAACTCAGATGCCAACTACAGCCTTGGCAGGAACAGGACAGACAGGAGTTAAACAGGAAGGCCATGCTCTGCTTGCCTTGCAAGGTGCTCACTCTGGCCCCTAGGGATTCTGCTCACCCCTGGCTAAGCAGGAAGCCTCATTTTGTTTTTATATTTTCAGACAAGGTCTCCCAAAGTAGCCAGGTTGCCAGGCTGGGCCCAAACTGAAGGGATATAACCATGGCAACAAACTGGGCAACCTGTGCTCAAAATGCTTGGAAGCTAAGTTCCACATTGGCACGGACTAGGGAAGTGGCTTCCAGGCTGTGCCTGTTTGGGAGTCAGATTTTCAAAAGTGCCCAGGAAGGTCTTCATTGTGACAGTGGTGTGCACAGCTCCCTGAACACGGCCACACTCATCACCCAGGGAAGTGAGAAGGTGGATGCAGTGTGTATTAATGTAACAGAATAATGAGCAGGGCTCAGTGGTGCATGTCTGGAATCCAGTACTCAGAAGACTGGGGCAGGAGGATCTCTGCTATTTTGAGGTCAGTCTGAACTACATGGTGAGTTTAAGGCCAGCCTGAACTACATAAGTGAGACTCTGTCTCAAAAAAAAGAGGTAACAAACCAGATTCAAAGATGTGATTATCTTGGTCAATCTTTCTTTTTAATGTCATACTAGTAAGTTGATTCATTACTTTTGTTGTTGTTGTTGTTGTTTGTTTTTCGGTACCATGGGTTGAACTCAGGTCCTTATGCTTGCGAGGCAGGCAGCGGAACTACTGAGCTAAATCCCTGGCCGCATTCCTTTTTTGGTATGTGCGGTACTGCTATTGAATCCAGGGCCTTCTCACTGAGCTGCATTCCCAGCCCTTTCTATTTTTTATTTGTGGCAGAGTCTTGCTAAGTCACTAAGTTGCCCAGCCTTAGCCTTCCAGAATCCTGGATCACAGGTTGCTACCATACCTGGCCTATCCGATTTTTATAGATCAGCTTGCAAAGGGAAGTAAGTAAGAAAGCCTTAGAAGTAGAAAAAAAACAACAAAAAATAATTTTTTCATTTGTTAAACTAAATATTTAAGGGCCAGGGATTTAGCTCAGTGGTTCTACTACCTACCTCGAAAGCTCAAGGTCCTGAGTTTGATAAATTAAATAAAAGTAAATTAAAAATTTAAAACAGGGTATAATGCAGCAAACTTGTATTTCCTAATTTTTTAAAAAAGTCAAATACAGTACTAAGTCAAGGCCCATGTTTTTGTTACTTTCTCGTTGCTGGGACAAAATTCCCAACATCCACAAGTTAAAGGAGGGAAGATTTCTTTGAGCTCATGGTTTGTAGAGATTTCAGTCCATGGTTGGCTGGCCCCAGGGCGGGGTGGCAAGGCAGAGGGGCTTCACAGAGGAAAAACAGTCCATGGCAGGGTAGTCAGAAAGCAGCAAAGTAGCAAGCCTCCCTTTCCCTTTTATCCCCCACTCAGACCACAAGCCACTTGGCTGGTGCCACCAACACCCTGAGTGGGTCTTCTCATTATCCACACACAGGACAATGTTAAACCAATCAGTGCACTAATTTAGTTATCACACACCCTTAGTCCCAACATCACACAGCCTAGATCCAGCTACCTGCAAAAAGCCCTACTTAGGAGTGAGTACCTGAGGGACCTGTACACATAAGCCTTAACCCTCCATCATGTACAGCAGCCATCGCCACCCCTGGCCCACACCTGCCTACTTCTTTGGCCAAGACGCAGGTGCACACACACTTGGTTCTCACTCTCTTCACCTCCATGGTCCTAAAGATCTCTCTGTCTTGATCTCCCACCTCTGAGTGGTACCCACACTCCTCTACCCATAGAAAATAGCCATTACCTCCTGTTACTTTCCTACCTTTGCTGCCCCGTGCACCCGTACACCCTCCTTCTCATAGAGTGATGTCGCTGCATTTGCTTACAAGTAGGTTGTGATTAGGTTATTTGACTATGTAAATGTTCTTCCTGGATGAGCTGGTTGTAAATTTTTATTGTATTTCCTTTTTGGTGTTGTTCATGTTTTTGTTTATGAGACATGGTTTTGCTATGTAGCCCAGACTGGCCACAGACTTGCAGCAATCTTCCTGCCTCAGCTTCCTGAGTGCTGGGATAACATATGTGCACCACCATACCTGGCTTTCATTGTATTTCTTTCCAGTGCAACTTTTGTTTTCTTTGAAGCTAATAATGCATAGTCTTGGGCTGGGGATTTAGCTCAGTGGTTGCACCACCTGCCTTGCAAGCACAAGGTACCAGGTTTATTTCCCCAGTACCAAAATAAATAAATAAAATAATGCATAGTCTTTTTTGTCATTTTCTTCATTTTCTTAATGGTATAATATGCTTCATTTAATCTTTGCACTAGCAGAGTCTTAAGAGTAGTATTTAGCTACGTAGGTTGAGTAACCAAATAAATGATGCAAAAATGTTTTCTAATCTGAAAATCACTGTGAACAAATACAATAGTGTTTAGTGCTACTGATTTGTTATTTGTTATTTTTATGAGTTCATGTTTGCAGTACATAATGATCACATTCCTTGTGGGGAGTTGGTTCATGCACATAACACATCATAATTCTTTCTTTATCCCCTTGTCCTCCTCTCTTCTGTCTTTTGTGATTTGGGACCCTCCTGCTCCAGCCTTCCAAGCAGCTAGGATCATGCCACCTTGTCCAGCTTCAGCTCTTCCTCTTTACTGATGTCTAAACTGATTTTGATGGGACATGTATTCTTGTACCCCCTGACACATAAAGTTCCATAAATGTAAAAATTTTGAAAATGTGTATTTTGAAAATGTGATCATCACTTTGGCATACCATAGCTGGGTATAAAATTCTGAGATGGAAATCATTTCCCCACAGATTGGAAGGCACTGCTCATTATTTTCTAGCTACCATCCTTGATTTAGGAAGTCAGTATCATTCTGGTTGCCATCCTTTCTATGTGACCTGCTTGATCGCTTCAGAAATTTTCAGGTTCTTTATCCAGGGGATCCTATTCGGGATCTTTATCCAGCCTCTCTCCATCTGGAAGCTCAGCTCCTTCAATTTGGGGAAAACTTTCTTGAATGTGGGTGTTTTTCTCCCCATATCAGTTCTTCCACTTCTTTTCCATATTTTTCCCTATCTGAAACTCCTATGATTTAGCCATATTGAACATCCTAAATGAACCCCAAATCTTATCTTTTTTATTTTCATTGCTCTCCCCCTCCTTTCTCAGGATTCCCTGCCTAATCTTCTAGCCTTACTGTCCCCCACTTCTGCCAATGCAGATTCTGGGCCTGGGCACAGCCTGATGGCTGGAGCCATGGCCCTTGGTCCTGCCACCATGACCTTGACATTACCTCCACAGGTGAACGTGCTGGTGTCCTTCGTGCTGCCCCTGGCACTCACCGCTTTCCTGAACGGGGTCACAGTGAACCACCTAGTGGCCCTCTACTCCCAGGTGCCATCAGCCTCTGCCCCGGTCAGCTCCATCCCTGGCCGCCTGGAGCTGCTGAGCGAGGAGGGTCTCCTGGGCTTCATCGCATGGAGAAAGACCTTCTCCTTGGGTGCCCAAGCCAGTCTGGTGAGACACAAGCATGCCAGCCAGATCCGCAGCCTGCAGCACAGCATCCAGGTTCTCAGTTAAGTCCTCCGTCACATTCCTCCAGGGAGAGGGTCCGGGTGCTGGGGCTGCCTCTGTCCATCCTTAGCAAGCTCCTGGCCCTCTCTAGGCCTGCCTCGCCCTGTCCCAGGGATCTGGGCAGCCACCAACAGGCTTCCTGCAGAGACTCAGTGGGGGAATGACATCTTAGTCACTTTCTTTGTCGATTGGACACCATACCCAAGCAAAGCAAAAACAGAGGGGTTTATTTGGGATCCGCTTTCAGTTCATGATCAGCGGCTCCAAGGCAGGGTGGCATGGCACAGAAGCCTGGCAGAGGAGAATTGCTCAGGGCACGGCAGACAGGACGCGGAGACAGAAGGGAGGAGCTGGAAGAGAGATAAACCCTCCAGGCCACGCCCCCAGGCCGGCCCTTCCAAGGGCCCATCTCCTAACCGGAAGTCAGCTACCATATAAGCTCCATAATCCAATCCCTTACTGAAAGCCCTATCTATGAGCACGTGAGGCTCCTAAAGGACATCTAGATCTAAAACCCTAACAGGTAAAGAAAGGGAAGAGTGGGAATTCAGTTTGCTGAGCCCCAGTCTGCTTCAGGGAGCAGCACACAGAGACAAGCAGAGACCAGGCTATTCCCCAGAAAGTCAGGCAGTGTGGATGAGAGAGAAGACTCCCTGAAGGAGCTGTGGACTCCAGACTGGCTGGGTCTCCAAAGCCAGGTCCCCTTAACTCTCCCTATTCCTAGCTACAGTGCTGTCTATTTGCTTGATTGTTTCTGTAAGGATCTGGGACTATTCGGCCTTGTAAGAAAAATCTCAAAAGGCACAGGAAAATAGGTTTCGAAGGCCCACCACACCCAGGCACCAAGGTCTGGGAGAATGGAGCAAGAGGCAGGTCTGGGCCCTCGGCAGTGTAGTGATCTTGTGCGTGGACAGAGATGCAAGATGAGGGGATGGTGGTCAGAGTCTGGGGGAGCGGACAGGCGCTCTGCAGTGGTAGCAGCGGGATGGGTGAGAAGGAGGGATTGAGGCTGAGGAGGAACCGCGTGATAGGGAGGTGGAGAAGGGCGTGGAAGACACCACCTTGTGGCTGAGGGCCATCCGTCCTCAGAAAAAAGAACAGAGCAGGAGAGGCAGGAAAGATATCTGAGCTCTGCCACGTATGGGGTCAGACAACCAGGTGGGAGTGTGCGACCGGAGGTGGCGTTAAACCCTACTGTCAGGTCATGGCTGATGCAATCCGTCACGCAGAGGTCAGGGCAGTGCAAAGTTGGAGAACAGATGCAGATAAAACACACCTGGTCAGCCGGGCACGGTGGTGCACGCCTGCCATCCCAGCACTCGGGAAGTTGAGGCGGGAAGGTCAGCACCCATTGAAGGCCAGACTGGGTTCCATAGCGAGTTCCAGGCCAGCATGAACTACCCAGCAAGCCCTGTCTCGAAAAAACTAAACGAACACAGAAACAATGCGTGGGTCACCTGCAGGTTCCCTCCCCACCCCGTGACTCCAGGAACAAGTCACGGAGAAACGTCTGTCCCCTCGAGGACTCCCGGAGGTGGCATCACTGAACCGTGTTCGTTTTCTGTCTGCCCCGCTCTGTCTCCCGCCCCACCTGCCCTGCAGGAGCCATCGTGGCCGTGTACGTCATCTGCTGGCTGCCGCACCACGCCCGCAGGCTCATGTTCTGCTACGTGGCTGATGACGCGTGGACAGAGTGAGTGTGGGCTGGGTCTCCACATCCCCGCCCGGCCCGCGCACAGCGTCCCAGCTGGGGTGGGGTCGGGGCAGCCTCCAGCTCCCTCTCAGACCCCGGGGGCCCCGTGGATGACCCCGGGGGCCCCGTGGATGGCAGCGGGGGCCGTGGGCTGCCTGAGTGCAGGATGGGGAGAACAGGAAGTCCACTGTACACCCGCCTCCCGGAGCACACCGTGCCACTGCTCACAAATGGAAACCAAACCCCACATCACAGAGCCCCCCGGAGCCCCCACGGGCACAGCTGCACGGACAGCGGCCTTCAGGAGCTGCCAGCACCTGCTGCACACGCGTGTGCTTCCTGGGGAAGCCGCGTCTCTCTGTGCAGAGCTGGTGGGGACAGGGACGGTCGTAGATCCACGCGGTGAAGGCACAGGAGTCGTGCGGCAGGCAGTGGGGCGCGGGACAGGGGACAGCCCTGCAGCCAGGCCCTGGCTTTCTCTTCCAGCTCGCTCTGCGACTTCTACCGCTACTTCCACGTGGTGACCAACGTGCTCTTCTACGTCGGCTGCGCAGTCACCCCGCTCCTGTACAACGCCATGTCCTCCTCCTTCCGGAAGCTCTTCCTGGGCGCCCTCCTTGCCCTGTGTCGGGACCGCCGCCCGAGGGAGGCCGCAGAGAGCGCCCCCAACAGACGCAGCTTCAGGCTCTGGGGGTTCCCCCGGAACCCCGACCCGGATGAGATGCAAGAGTAAATGAGCGCACACAGTGACTGACCTTCCGGCCACCCCCTGCCACTACTAACCAGACCGAGTCACTCACCACCCCATCAGCACCCCACCCCACCCTGCTCCGGGGAGCCCAGCACTGTGCCCCACATGTAATCAATACTCAATAAATTTTAGCTGGGGCTCATCTGGCTTTTTTTTTTTTTTTTTTTTTTTTTTTAATTTTTTTTTTTGTACCAGGGATCGAACTCGGGTCCTTGCACTTGCGAGGCAGGCGGCAGAACCACTGAAGTAAATCCCCGGCCCTCTTCTGTCCTTATTGCCACTTTTCTGGGATCCCAGACACCTGCCACATACATCTGCAGTGTCATGTCCCTGGGGTTTGTGCTCAGATGTCCTACAAGCTTCTTTAGATACTCGTGTTGATTCGGTTCTTTTCTGTTTTGTTTTGAGACAGAGGCTTGCTACATAGTCCAGGCCGACTTGAACTCGCTATGTAGCCCGGGTTGGCCTCAAACTGGCAGCCACCCTCTTGCCTCAGCCTCCTGAGTGCTGGGGTGACCAGCATGCAACACCACGCCTGGCTTGGATTTACAAATTAGGATGCTCTGCCTGTGTTACAACAGCCATGACAGATGTGGGATACAGAAGCCAAGAGAAGCAGGGTTCTGCTTTTGCTATTTGATGACTCAGGTCAGGAACCCAGGCTTGGGTCTTGGAAGCACGTGTTCCTCCTCAGCCACAGGAGGCTGGAGGGAAAGACGGTAAGGAAGGGCCATGGCCCCGGGACACAGAGGATCACAGAAGTGTCACACTCAAGCCGTTCCCAGAAAAGAAAACTGGAGAAGCAACTGTATTGTGATGTTTCCCACAAATCATGCGGACAGAAACGCTGGGTTTGCTAAGGAGCCGTGACCCAGAGAGGGGGTGACCCCGTCTTCATCCCTCCACACGAGCACAGCCAGGCTCGGTACTCGGGTTTGGAGAAAGAGGGAGCTGGAAACGTGCTGTCTCTGCCTTGCTCGTGAGCCAGGCACGGTGGCCCACGCCTGGCATCCCAGCCTCAGGAGGCCAAGGCAGAAGGCTGGACTTTCAGGCCGGCCAGGGCTACATAGTTTTGGTGGTGGTGGTATCAGGGATCGAACTCAGGACCTTGTTCTTGCCAGGCAGATGCAGCACCATTGAGCACCTCCTGGGCTGCACAGTGAGTTTAAGGCCAGCCTGAACTACACAGCCAGACCGTCTTGGTAAATTAATTAATTAACTAATTAATTAATTTAAAAGGGCTGGCAATGAAGCTCAATGGAAGCACCCTAAACTCAATCCCGAGTGCTTAAAAAAATAAGAAGAGCCCAGAACCTGGAGTCTGGAGTCCTCTGCCACTTACCTGCTGTGTGACCTAAGCCAGTTCTTTCACGTGCTGAGACTGACTTTGACACCTGTGAAATGAGCATCAGAACAACTGTTCCTTGGGTTTTCAGAATTGAATGACATCACTTGGTGTAGTAGTGCATGCCTGTAATCCCAGCACTTGGGAGGCTGAGGCAGGAAAATTGCCATGAGTTCAAAGCCAGCCTGGGCAATATAGTGAGACCCTGCCTCAAAAAACAAACAAAAGGGATGTAGGGATTGCTGTAAATGTAAAATGTGAAGGATCTGTGTGTGTGTGTGTGTGTGTGGTACTGGAGATCGAACCCAGGGCCTTCACACTGAGTTACGTGTCCAGTCAGGTTTATGTTTTATTTTGAGATAAGGTCTTGGTAAATTGCTACGTTGCCTGGGCTGGGGTGGAACCTGCAATCCTCCTGCCTCGGCTTCCCACAGTGCTGGGATTACAGGTTTGTGCCACCATGCGTGGCTCAATATGACCTCATTTTAACCTATTTGACTACATAGTAGGACTCCGTTTCCAAATAAGGTCACATTCTGAGGTGCTGGGGTGTTATGGTTTGTCTAGCCATCTGGCCTTGCAAGTGCTGGGATTACAGGTGTGCAACACCATGCCCAGCCACCAACATGCTTGCTGGGGCTACAACTCCACCCCTAACCCACCCAAATTTATTGTTGCTGGGGTGGGGTGGGCTTGTACAGGGCAGAACTCAGCACTGAGTAGCCAGAGGCCCAAAAAATGCATCCTCAGTGCTTGCTAGAGCTTCAGAAAGAAAGGGAAACTGGGACAGCATATTCAGCGAATAACAAATACAGTCTTAGAATTCTTCTCAAAACATGAAGGGCTTTACAAATCCCCACTGACCTTTCCAACTGTTTTTTTCGCTAAAATGCTAATCCTTTCTGAGCCAGGAAGTCTGCCGGAGCAAGTAGACTAAGAAAGGTTTACAAGCGGTTCATAGTCCCCTCCGCAGCAGAAGCCACCTAGAATCTGAAGCCAGATCAAGGAGGAGTGGCTCAATGCAAATTTCTTTTTCTTTTCCATTTTTTGTTTTTGTTTTTGAATTTTTTGTGGTACCAGGGATTGAACCCAGGACCTTTGCATTGAGCTCCACTCCCGGCCCTGTTTTACCTTTTTATTTTGAGACAGGGTCTTGCTAAGTTGCTAAATTGCCCGAACTGGACTCAAACTTGGGATCCTCCTGTTGCAGCCTCCCCGGATGCTGGGATTACATTACAGGTGGGCACCACCGCGCCCGGCTTCACATTTAAGATGATTCCCAGGCCAGGGATTTGGCTCAGTGGTTCTGCTGCCTGCCTTGCAAGCACAAGGGCCCGAGTTCGATCTCCGGTACCAAAAAATAAATAAATAAAATAAAATGATTCGCAACTTTTAGGCTGGGATATCCCTGGCGCTGGATGGCATCCAGTGTAGTACATGTGCTGTATACATAACCACCTCCAGCACCACCTCCCGCAGACAACCAACAACTGGGTTTCCTCTGTGGGAAAGAACTAGCTTGGGATTTTTTACTCTCTGCAGAGCCCTAAGGGCAAGAGTACATGGCATGCGGCAGAAACCACAGTGCGCAGGACGGGAAGCAGCTGTGACGTCAGCGGAAGTATCCTCCCCAACACCCCCCCCACCCCGTGACAAGCCATTAACCCCTCTAAACTCGGGTTTCTGCTGTCAGATGGTCACGCTGATCGTCCCACTTGAATGTCATTGATAAAATGAAATGGTGGCTATTTAGCCATCAGACAAATGTCTGGCGCACAGTAGTATCTCAAAAATAGTTTGTTCATAGGACTGGAGATTTAGCCCACTAGTACCTGCACCTGCCTCATAAGCACAGGTCCTGAGTTCAATCTCCGGTAACAAAAAAAAAAATGGTTTGTTCACTTTGTAGCAAGCGCAGTCCCTTGGAGCTGGGTGGTGGTTCTGCACTTGCTGAAAGTATTCAGGGATACTTTTTCTTTTGGAACCATCTCTGACACCCAGGTACAGCACAAGGGCAGCTCTGAGCCCGGGAGGCAAGGAACAGAGAAAACAAGCTAGCAGAAAAGGTTCTATGAAACCCTGCCTACTCACCCTGCCACACAGACCCCTAACCTAAACACACACTTACGGTCCCAGCCACCCGGGATCCCTTGTGATCAGATGCAGTTGAGTTATGCTCTTTGGTTTTATCATTACTCTTGGGCTTGAGAACTTTCTGGTGGGTTAGACTTGAACCCGAGACCTCCAGGACTCTGAGGAATAGACTTGGGGTAAGGGAGGGTCTCGCATACTGAGTATTGTGGAAAGGATTACTGAGGCCCTGAGGGGTCCCCCTCAGTGAAAAAATAGAATGTCAAACACCTGGTGTGTTTGGGCAGTCAGAAATGTGCGGTTGAGGCTACCTGTTCAAAATGCTGTCTGGTCTGTAATCCCAGGAATTTGGGAGGCTGAGGAAGGAGGATCAAAAGTTGGGACTCAGCCTGGATAATTTAGTGACTTATTGAGACCCTGTATTTTATATATCTCTCACACACACACACACACACACACACACACACACACACACACACACACATATATGGATAAGGATGTAGCTCAGTTCAAAGGCTCTGATTCTGATCCAGCACCACCACCACCCCAAGACATCTGGCCAAGAATTTCAGCCATTCTCTCCCGCTGGAATATCTTTAAAGACATCATAAGGAAGAGCTCAAGACATCAGGAAAGGAAGTCAAAAATTGAGCACTTCATCGCTTCTCGGCCTTTTGGCTAAGATCAAGTGTAAAAATTGAGCATTTCCACTAACCATAGACCTGCTAAATTTTCAGTGAACAGTTAACAAATGCTCTGTGGATCAAAACACCAAACCTTTCAGCTGGGGAGCTACTTAGTTTCCTGTTTTACAGGGTTCTTTGGTGCTGGTGATTTCTAAATTTTCTGTCCTGAACAAAGAATTTGTCAAGACAAGTGTAAAAGATAGCAGGGATTTAAATTTATCGAAGATATGAAAAGAACAGAAACATTCTGCAGAGCAAGTGTGGCCCAATTAATAGCAGGAAAAGAAGAACAGACTTCAGGGTGAGTGGATCATTGACTGAGAAGGAGAGCACTGTGGCCAACAGCTCATAGGCAAGAAGTCTTTAATATCACCCGTTCCTCAGGGTGACATCAGAACTAGGCTGTCCTATTAAAAAAAAAAAAAAAAAAAAAAAAAAAAACTGCATGAATTCTCGCGAGATTACTTGAAGCTAGCGCTCATTGGTGTGGGGGTTTTTGGGAAACGTTCTGCTCATGTGATTGACAGGTCACGCCCACTTCCCCAGCCCTTTGCCTCTGTAGTCTCCGCCTCACTCTCTCTGGAAGTGTGGATGGAGGTTTTTCTGCGTGGCACATGTACTCCCATTTCATCCCTCCCTGACAGGTCCCTTAGAAAGAATCTGGGAAGAGCACATTGATTGAAAGCACAGATTGGTATCATATCTGGAGATGGGTTCAAGAGTGCCCCCAAAGGAGAAGAAAGTGGAGTTGGAGCACGTGAAAGGCCCTGGTCTCCTTCACTGGGGTTAGGAAAAGAGATTCTGGAGCAGAAACAAATTCAAGGGTAAGGAAGATTCCCCTGGAGGCAGGCCGACAGCCCTGAGCAGTGCCACAGTCAAGATTCGGCCCCAGGCCGGGACTACAAACCACCAGCACACATCTGTGAGTGGCCGAGGACCCAGGTCAGCCACGGAGGTGAGCCTGTGAAACTTCCGCTGTGACAGGACGGGCCGACTGACACGCCGCCATC